AACTCCCAGAATTCCCCAGCCAGCATGGCTGGCTGGGGAATTCTGAGAGTTGAAATCCACTCATCTTAAAGTAGCCAAGTTTGGACAACACTGCCTTAGGCAATTTACAATGTGGTTGAAGTGGATTGCAAGATAGCTAATAATGTTTCCTTTGGATGACATTTCTAAGGAATAACCAGTCCTGTTAAAGAGGAAACAAGACATCACCAGTTCACGTCTGTGCATCATTGAAAAGTACCCATTGTAGTGGTGGTGACAAGTTGTTGGACTAGGATAGAAAGACCCAGGTTCAAGCTCACCAGGTGACAGGCCAGATAATCTCTCTCATACTAACTTACTGGACAGGCTTGTTATGAGGATAAAATGAAGAATGGAGAACTAAGTACAAACACCACCTTGAATTCCTGAGGAATATAAATGTAACATATCAACAAATAAATCAAACAATGAAGTATTCTGTTCAAGGTACAGCATGGCCAGCTGGTTAATATTTCAAACTTTCTTTCAGGCAGAACAGAGTAAGAATTTATATACTTTGGAAAACTCTGCAAGGTTGAGATGCCCTAGTTTTACATCTTCTTAACTTCAGTGCAAGCTTTATATTTTCCAATAACATTGTTTTTGAGGCAAAACAGTTAAAATCCCTAAAAAAGGAAGGAGTAAAAATGTTACCTGCTACAAACATATCCCTTATTCCTCCCTCTCCCCAAGCAATATTCTTTTCTTACAACTATTTTCTGATCTTTCTGTTAGCTTAATGAAGCTATTGCCATTAAGTATTGGGTTTTTCCCCCCTTGTGGCCAATATGACCACTGTTACTTTTAAAGCTAAGGTAATAATTCTTCCTTCATTCCTATCACACATTCCCCCAAGAAAGGATCTCTGAATGGAATGTGATGTAACTTTTTGATTTGCACCATTAAGCCTTGCTATTAAAACCCACCACCTAGTATGTGAGTGCATGTGAATATGTGTGTTTTGTTCCCATTATCTAGTTAAATTCTTCACAGAGGGATTCATTTGACAAATGAATGTTGCTCTAGTTTCCAAGTTGGACCATCCATCAGCAACCAGGAAAATGGCATTGAGGAAAGAAGATGGCTATTAAAAGAAAATTATACCTTAAGATAGTTGGGAGCTACAAAATAGATGTATCATATTCTTTGGAAGCTGCAGACAAATACTTTTCAAATATGATCAAGGGCGCAGAGGAAGTTTGCTTCAAAGCAATTGAGTAGATAAGACCAGCAAGGTTGTGCTAACCATTGCAGATCAACTTGTACACTGTTTCTAAGCTGATTTGTAATAGAATTTGAGGTCACACCAAGAAATTGAGTTTTATTTATTGTTTGTTTATTTTGTCATTACCCATCTCACTACAGAGTAACTCTGGGTGGTAGTATTAGGGAATGCTAACAAATGCTGCACAATCTTTGGCCTTTAGACACTGGACTGCAATGTGAAAATACTTTTACCTTGCTTTGGTTGCTGTTCTTTATTAATTTTGCTGTGATTATTAATTTGCATAGATTTTCCTCTGGAATAGCCAACTATATGAGCCAATTTTTTTCTTTGTTTTTAAAGCATTTTCCCCCAATACTGAATTTGCTAAACATAGAGCTCACATTTTTTTAAAAAAAAATCAATGCACTTATTAGTCATAACTCTGTCAGTTTAGTTTTGCTCTTGAATTTTCCTTTGTAAAGCAAAGTTCTAAACATAAACAATTAATTTTTTTTATCCTTATGAACCTCTGTCAGATTTGCCCCTTTTTCAGGTTTGTCCTTTATTTTTTCCAAGAAAATATGGTCACCATATCTTATACTTTCCAAGATTTTCTATTTATCCCAGATAACTGTTAAAGAGACCTTCCTGAAATCAGTGCAGTTCTTGCATCCTTAATCTGACTGAGCTGTGGGGGGCTTGATGGGTGGCTTTGAATGGGTACGAGCTCAAACTCAGCATTTATTTCAAAATCCTTGCATTTACCTGCAAGATCTTGCATCTACAGTTGCACCACACTACAGCTGATGCTTCATAGCCACTGCACAATCCTCGGAAAAAACATGCTGCTTTAATGAGTTACTGACAAGTGCCACACACACACGCCTGCACATTCCAAAGCACTTTTTTCCAATCAACTCTGAAGTATCACATAGTCCTAGCAGCTAATATTTCTTATATTTCCTTGTGGCAGGTTTACATGGGTTTCTTAGATGTAGAGCTGAAGCAGGAATTTTCTGTCATCTCCCTGGGATATTAAGGAATACAGAGACGCTCCGGCTTTAAGGGAAGCAATTTCCAGAAATGAAAAGTCTTGCATTTTTTGGAAAATTCAGTTTGTGTGATGGACTGGAATGGTGGGAGGGGAGTAAAGAATGTGCTCTCATCTCCAGAGGAGCGAGGAAGAGAT